GGAACACGCAAGGGACGCGCCGGCAACCCTTGAGCGAGGATGCCGAAGCTCTGCCCTCGCTGCGGCCGCTCCAGCTCCCGCTCCCGGGTGTCGTGTCGGGCTCCTCCGTCCCGAGCTCGTCCCTTCACCGAGGGAGGCCCGAGCGCTTCTCCCACAGAGACTTCCAAGCATTTTACACCGTAGCCATATTAACCTCCGCCCAGCAAGGGCGCCACAACGCAGCCCCGCGTTTGTGAGAGAGAAGACTGACTGAAACCGGCCTTCCGCGGACCTCGTGCTCCTTCCGGCCTTTGGGAGCCTGACAGGAAACCGTCCTCCTGACGTCTGACGAAGCGGACTGGTTCCTGGGCTCTAGACGGTTAGAAGCTGGCTCTCCTGGCGCTCCGCAGTGCGAGACGGGCTCCGACGGCGCTCGCGCGAGTTCCGCACTACGAACAGCGAGCGCGCGGCGTCTCTCCCCGCTGCCCCGCAGTGGCGTCCGCTACAGCGTCCCGACGTCAGTACGTCGGCCACGCCCCCAAGCAGTGCGGACGCACAGAAGCCGCCTGCGCTCTCAGAAGTTCTGTTCCAGCGGACGGGGGGTGGCTGTCGCGGGGTCTGAATTTGCAAGGAGCATCCCGACCCGCATCAGAAGCTCCACTCCATACACGCCACAGCGGCGACGGGCACAACCATCTTAGAGTGGGCGCTTCTTAAGAAGGTTCTTAGTAACGCCAGCCCTTCCCGGGTTTAGGCCCTGATCTACCCAGCACTGGTGGTGGCAGAACTGTTAAGCCGTTAGAATGTGAAACATAATACACACACAAATTCTAGAGGAACGGAAGATTTAAATGTAAAAATAATTTTAGAACAAAATCCAGTAGACTCTACTCTATGGGTAGAGTAAATCTTTCATCAATTATTTTTTCCAAATAAGACAATTCAGAACTTATCAAGCAAAAGAGAGATGCCTTTAATTAAAAAATAAACCCATATGGCCAAAAATATAAGTTTAAAAGATAAATATAGAATGGGAAAAATCCAACAAATTTGGTCAATAGACTGTTAATATCCATAATATGTAAAGATCTTTTCTATAACGATTAGAAAGTATGGATATGTAGTTTACACAAAAAAATTCAAATAGTCAATAAGCTATTGATCACTGTTATCAGAGTAATGTACCATTTAATAAACGATCTTTATCCACTGAACTACTCTCTGTAAATAATTCTAAGGCTCTTAGCTGACTATTCTGCTGATACCACGCTTTTGTTTACAATGCCTAACACAGCTGCAGAGAATGGTAAAGCCAGTTCCTCTCACTGTATTTCTCATCCTCTTAAGACATCAGTGCCTCCAGGGGCACCAGGGTGGCTCAGTGGGTTAAGCCTCTGCCTTTGGCTCAGGTCATGATCTCAGGGTCCTGGGATCGAGCCCCTCATCAGGCTCTCTGCTCAAAGGGGAGCCTCCTTCCCCATCTCTCTCTGCCTACCTGTGATCTCTCTCTGTCAAATAAATAAAGTCTTAAAAAAAAAAAAGAATCAAAAAAAAAAAAAGGAATCAATACCTCCATAAAAATGTTAAATTCATTTAACCCAGCTCACAGAATTTTTTATACACTTTTTGCTGGCAAGTCCTTACACAGCTATCAACAAAATGTAGTAGTGAGAAGCAGTGGCTCGATATGTGGGCTCGGTATTGTGGCTACAAAGCCATGATCTTCTATTTTTGAGCCGTCACCTTGGGCCAGTGTCTTAATCTATTCTTTTTATTTTTTTAAATCTATTTATTTGAGAGAGACAACAAGAGAGAGAAGGTGCAAGCGCACACACAAGAAGGGGGAAAGAAGGGAGAGGGAGAGAGAATATCAAGCAGACTCCACACCAAGTGCAGAGTCAGATGTGGGGGAGGAACTCATGACCCGGAGATCACGAACTGAGCCAACTGAGCCCCCCTGGCTTACTCTTTTCTATACAGTAAAAGGAGTACTTACATCCTAGGCTTAAGCAGATGAAGAAAACATTTAAGAGGCTCTAACACAGTGTCACAAAGAAGAAATGCTCAGTAAACACTAGCTCTACACTGCATACCCCATCAAATCCTCTGCATAGCGAAGACCTGGCGTGTATCCAGGCAGGGGGAAAGCTCCCTGCAGGCGAAGACCTGGCTCTCCAGTAAGGAGGTCAGAGAACAAAAGTAAGAGTGACTTACTGAAGGTGCCTGAAGGCTGTGTCTCCAAGCTTAAGAAAAATGCTTTAAGTACATCCGGCAAAACACAGGTCCAGGAGAACAGAGACCAGTCTACATGGAAACAGAGGAAGAGACTGTACGAGCAACAAGGATAAAAGCCGAGCCCGAGAAAGGGTGTGTGAAGGAGAGAAGCAGTTGCAGATCCGTGGATGTTGAGGATTAAGACCCAGAGAAGAACTACTTGTAATCATAATTCAGAACAGTTAATATTCTAGCTAGAATCTCAGATGAGTAACATTTTCTGTTGTGGCTGTGTACTCATTTTTTAATTTTTCAACAAACACAGTCAGCAAAACCTAGAACCCTGACCCTCTGTACACGCAGTAAATATTCATGGAGCACCTGCTCTGTATAAGTCCCAGGGTAAGTCCCAGGTCCGCGGCAGCGAAGACAAGTAAGCCGTGGTTCCTGACCTTCTCCAGTGCGGGAGAACAACGTTCCAGTAACTAAGCTACAATCACAAATCAGAAGGGCCCAGAGGGTCAGAGAATCTTTTCTAAGGAGGTACTCGCTCCGTCTCACCCATCAGGTCTCAGCTACTCAAGAAAAGACGGGGCAGAAAAACAGGCAGAAGGACGGACTCTGAACAGGAAAGAGTCTGCTGCACGGGGGGTAATGAAAGATGAGTGTGGACAGCACTGAGCAAGGAGAGTGTCCAGAAATGTGGAGAGAGAGGTAAATGAGATCAAGACGATAGGGTCATGTTAAGGTGACTGGGCTTATTAAGAACCAACCCAAGAGTTTTGAGAAAACTGCTGTAGGGATTTTTAAAGACCACTGTCTTCTGTACAGAGAAAGGTACTACCCGCGTGGGGACAAAAGTGAAAAGGGGTAACTATTTATAATAATGCAGGGAATGGTATGATGGAAACAGACCGACTCTACCACCTTCCTACTTATAGTACCACTTCTCACTTTATACTTACTGTACTTAATTCACAGAGCAGCTCTTCTAGAGAGGAGTTCTTTGGCAGTCATTTCAAAGCTGTTAAATTAGTATTAAATCTCAAAATATAGTTACTCTGTCCCACCAATTAATATCCAGCCATGTTTATAATAAAAAATGGAAATCTGAAAATGTAAAATCATGGGGAAAAAAAAATTGCTTTTGGTCTTTTCCCAAATTTAAATCATAATTTTTATATCTATTTTATCCTGCCTTATTTTTAAACATGACAACAAAATTAAACAATTCATAAAACTATCTTTTCTTTTATACTTATAAAAGCCTTCAATGCTGGATAGAAATTAGAAAATGAAGCAAAACAACAACAACAACAAAAAAAAGGAAGCAAAAACCAATTTCCCAATTGGGGGTAGCAAGCTATAATGATGACCTACAGAAGTCCTTCCCTACCGGGGTTAGAAAGGTACTGCACTGGCACCTTCCTTCCATCAGGGTCCCCAATATCTTCTAATCCCTCTTCTCCTGATAGTCATTTCTTGGGTGCCAATCATGCGCGAGCTACTTTGGTGTAAGGCTCTTTTCTCCATTAGGCAGAGAATCAAGTGGCAGGTGCAACAGGGTTCCCAACTGCGGACATCTGGCTGGAAGAGGCCCGGAGCCCCCAGATCCATCAGCCATCCCACAGCAGCCCTGGAGGAGACCGGACAGCAAGGGCAAGCACCCGCTTCCGCTGGAAGGCAAGACTCTGCAAGTCCCTACATGCAACTCACAGGGACAGGAGAATGAAGGACAACACGGAACGGAGTCTTTCAAGGTACCCGCGACGTGCCAAAAGCCGACTCCATCTTGAGAGCGGATGATCTAATAATGATGTCCGACACAGGGTACGAAGCTGTATCCTCCCATCACTCGGCAGCTCGCCTCACGGACTTGGGTACGCAGAGCAATTCTAATGAAAGCCAGCGAAGTAGAACAGTGTGCACTCCCCCGAGTGACGAAACCGTGTGCACGCATACTTCAGAAATGAGGGACACAATCACAACACTAGGGACAAATGGAAAAGATCTCTTCCTCATGCGAGATGTATCAACAGGTCTTTGGCAATGAAGCAAAAAAAGTAAAAGGTCTGGACACTGAGACCAGCCAAATAAAATCAGTCAAAAAAAGTATGGGGGGGCTCTTATAAAATACAATTAAGAGGAAACCGAGTTTTCAATTTTTGCTCAATCACCTTACCAATGATTAAAAGTTTCAATCAGCAATTACTTGTTTATCCAGTACCGACCATAAGCCAACACTGTTCATGAAGCCAACCGGTAATAAATTCTGTCTCACAGGCCTAATTTCAAGGCAGGTGTTAACCTGACGAGCCAGCCGTCACTGTAATTGTGCTGACTGCACTGTATGGACCAGTGGCCTCTCAGATGATTTCTGATTTTTGGAATCAGGACAAAAGAAAGCTATGAAAGCATAAGCGCTTGTTCCCATGCTCACCCTTTCTGAATAAGCTGCCTTTTTTTTCTTTTTTTAAAGATTTTATTTATTTGCGAGAGAGAGAACACAAGCACAAGCAAGCAGAGGGAGAAGCAGACGCCCCACTGAGCAAGAAGCCCGACGAGGGGCTTGATCCCAGGACCCCGGGATCATGACCTGAGCCGAAGGCAGACGCTTCACTGACCGAGCTGCCCAGAGGCCCCTTATTAGCTGTGATCCTGCTGAAAAGCCGATCCTCTCCAGAGAAAACCATGTGCATATTCATATGAAATGTAGTAAACAATATAAGGGGGTTAAAAAAAATGCCTTGATGCTTACCCAGGGATTTCTGGGTCGAGCCCCCATTCCTACGAGAGAGCTTCCTGAGGAAAGTTAAGAACCGAGCTCTCACGCAGAGGCTCACGAGCAGGTCAGGAAGAAAGAAGTGGTGGGAAAACGCGAGGTAAATACACTGACCGCCACAGTGAGAGAGGAGAGTCACCTCGTCCTCTGAAGCCCCAGTGGGGCAGCACAGGGCACAGCTGCATCTGTCTGACAAAACACTTAGCGAGTACTATGACCGCTACACAATGTTGGGGCGGAGACTTGGGGCGGCCACCAACCTCGGAAGGAGCTCACAGTTCTTGCTCTCGTGCGGCTCGTAAGGACCACGAGTGACAATTGCGTATCCTGACAAATCGTCTGGAGCTGAGACAGGTTACTAGCACGAAGGAAATGTCTCTTACGAGAGCCTATCACTAAAGAATCTAGCTAGGACAGAGGGTTCACAGAGCCTTACAGAGTGAGACTGAGGTGACAGCCAACCAGTCCAGGGTCATCTCTGCAGAAACAGGGGTGGGGGAAGTTAACAAATCTTCCAGACGAAGGGCAATGGAAGATTCTGTGCACAGACAGTGCCGAGACGCGGAAGCCACACTCAGAAGTTAGGAAGATGCTGGTTCCTTACCTCCTGCCAACAGTACTAGCGCATTAACGGGGGGGGGGGGGTGTTGTGCCCTGAAACGATGAAATCGGACACTTTCCGTATAGCACCGGGTACAATGCGCTGGCAGAGAGGAAGCGCTCACTCAACGTGAGCGACGCTGAAAATCACAGAGCGGTGAAGAGAACCTGTGCTCTGCTAATACAGTCTGGGTACGCTCACCCCCACAGTCAATGTGAAAAGTTCCTACAGCCACCAATTATGAATTTCTAAAGCAGAATACAGGCAGTTTAAATATTTTACTAACTGCTTGCTCTTTGTTTTCACTAATGTAGTAAATGGGATGCACTGAACTGTATTTAGATGTAACACAAATCTCTACCCAAGGGCTAGAATATACTTCACCATTGAGATTTATTTTTTTTTAAGCAAAACAACTTCCTGATGAATTCTGGAGAATACTTGAGTGAAACAAAGTTCTTACAATATAATTATTAAGTTTTCTGAATGGAATGCTCTTGAAAATTGATGAATTCGGTTTAACATCTGTTATTTAAATAAAAGACAGTTATTTAAAAACTGTTCTTTAAAAAATTTGACCATCTTTGAAAAGTTTCAAATTTAGTCTTATTTAACAAGCTGAGGTGTAATCCAAAAAGAAAACCCTCATATTTCACTTTGCCTCCAGGCAAAGCATTACATGCAACCCCAGTAATGGGGAATCTCGCCTTTACATAGAAATCTGTTGATGTTCACAGAAAAAGGGAAACACACTCTTTTCAGATTCATGCTCTCTCAGATACACAACTGTTGAGTACTGAGCACATTTTCCCTAAGCTTTAGTATCTGTAATCCACCTCCTGGCCTGAGATTTCAGAACAGATAAGAACTGAGAAAACAAGACGCTTAGCACTGCAAAAATGCAACATTACCTGGAAAACTGGTCTTCATTACATCGATTCCAACTTGTAGCTCAGGTTCAGCAGCGAGCACTGCATAGTCCCCTTGATGAGAGACATTAAAGTTGAAGTTGGGGTAGGGATTCAAGGAGTCTTTTGCAAGAACTGGTTTTCCCTTTGCAGTTCTTTGCAAACGAATATTATTCCAAGGGATATTCAATTTCTCTGCAACTAATTTCCTTATCATCAGACGACCAGCCTGTTAAGGAATTAAAACATGTGGTATGTATTGAGGTCTACTAAAGACTCAGATACCCTGCCTGTAACATACAAAGTCTATTTTTGTGGTTTCTAAAATAAATTTATTTTTAAGTGTTTAAAAGTATATTAAGTATTAAACTTGCTGTACTAAGATTTAAGCAGTGCTTAAGGAAGTAGAAGAAAAAGTTAAAGTCCCTCTTTAGCAATTCCCTCCCCTCAACAAATAACCAATGTAACAATTCTGCATCTTTCTGTTCTTCTAAGTATCTATATACCTTTTCATTTAGATATGCTTTTTTTTTTTTTAAATGTAGATACATATTTGAGATCCTACTATAAGGAGGACTGCACCAGGCCTAAGCTTTATAACTTGCAAGTGTTGGGGATTATTTCATGTCTGTACCTATGAGTCCAGTCTGTCCCTTTTAACTGTAGTCTAATATTTCACAGTATCAAGATACTCCTCTTGATGGACGACTCCGCTATTACTGGACTTTTAGGCTGGCTCTAGTTTAGCTATTATGAAAAATTTCCCAGTGAACAGACCTATTCTACCCAAATCTCTGTGAATATGTCCAAGTACTTCTAGATCCCATACACCTATCACTCAGCTTCAATAATTAGCGATGCATGACTTGTTTCACATACACCCCTTCCACTGTCCCACTTCCATGAATTATGAAAAAACTACTCAAATCATACAAAAATGCCCAAGAGTAGGAAATGACAAAGTCTGTAATAATTTATAAAATACCTTTCCAGGTGTCTCCCCTTCCATTCTAACATTCTAACATAGACTTTCAAAATCTGCATGACTTTATGAATTACACAATTTCTTACAAACTATAAAAAAGTTAAAAAGAAATTCACCACTCTGCCTTCAAAACACTATCTATTAGTCCACAGCCCAAACGAAAAGGTGTTTCTATCCGGGGCACTTTGGAGCAATGGCGGTCTTGGAAGCGATGATCACCAGAGGCGACTTCAAACTGCACCCTGCGGCCGAGGTAATTCTGAAATCCAACTTTCCCTTTGTTGCTTGGAAAGGCATAACCACAACCAACACTTCATTTACAACGGCGTTCCCCGAGCGACGCAATCGGGGAGGGAAGCCCGAGGGGCGTCCCCCCGCCGGGCCGGCTTCTCCGGGACGCGAAGGCCGGCCCGGGCCTCCTCCCGCGACCCCGAACACCCCGTCGCGGTGTGCCGGGGCCTGTCCGTGCCGGTCGCCGTCAGGCAGGCGGTGCGGGGTCGCGCGGTGGGGCGCCGGCGTGGCCCGCAGACACGCTGCCCGCGAGACGCGCCGCACGGCCGCCAGCCCGCCCCGACACACAAAGGGCCCTCCGCACCCCAGACCCGAGTAGTACCATGGCCGCCTTAGCGTCCCGGGCAAAGACGAACTGGCCGATGCGCTCCTTCTCCTCGGGCTGGATCGACCGCACGGCCAGCAGCCACTCCGCGCGGCTCGGCAGCCAGGTGCCGCACGAAAAGGCCCAGCGCACGCCCTCCATGGCCGGCACCAAGCAGGACCGCGGGGCGGGCGAGACCACGCACCGAGAAAGGACCTCGCCGCCACGCCGGCTCTGATGGCGCGGACGCTGGCGTGGCCCCGCCCCCTTCTTCCCGGCGTCGCGGCGGAGGGGGCGGTGCGGACGGCGACGCGCACGACGCCCCGCCCACCGGGAGCGCAGGTTTCCCCGGCCCAGCCGCGGTCTCCAGGAGAGATGGGCTAGGGGCGGAGACGGAGGCCCGCCTCTGCGCTCCGCGCTCTGCGGCAGCTCGTGACGTCACGAGGGGCGGGGCCTCGCGGAGAGAAGAGGGAGGGACCAAGGCCGAGAGCCGCCTAATTACGCCAGTCACACTCGGAGAAGCGCTAACGGGACAGCGGTTCAGGCCAATCGCAGTCGGGCCTGCGGAGGCAGCGAGACTAGGGTGGAGACTTCGGAGACTGCAGTTGCAGGTGGGTGAGCTCTGGGGTCTGAAGGAGGAGTGGGATGGCAGCGGTGCTGGGGGGCCCGCGGAGGAGGGGATCCCCGGGGCTCTGGCCGCCCCTTGGCTCGTCCGTGTGCCGGGTCGGGGAGGGCTATGGGCGATGGGGAGCGCGCCGCTCGGGGCCCCCGGAGCTGTGCCCCGCGGCCGCCCCGACCTGGCCTCCCCGCCGGCCCTGGGACCCCTCGCTGCGGCCGTGCGGTGGCCCGGGCACCGGGGGCCCTAGGAGCGGCGGAGCGCACTTAGCTCAGCAGCCTTCCTCGGCGGCTCCGTTCCTTGGCTCGGTTGTTTTCCCAGGCCTGACCGAGGGCCGTCTGGACGCCTCAGGGGGACCCTCGTGACCACAGCCCCTGCGGTACTGGCCTCTGCGGAGCCCTGTCGATGCCCAACTTCGCGGTAGATGAGATGCCATCCGCTGAGATGTAGACGGTCCCCTCCGCCCTTTGGCGGCCAGGGGACGTCAGCCCAGGGCCAGCAGTAGTCATTCACACAGCGACCTAAGGATTACTTCCACCCTCTTTAAGATGGCTTCTATTCTGTTTTTATCTATGCTTGTTTCTGTTAAGTTTTCCTGATCTCACAAGCCCCTTCCAATCCTTTGCAGGTAGGTGGGGTTTTGAACGCCCAACACACGCAAATCCTCAAAGGGATGTAACGTAGTGTCTTGATAGATCAACCGGGGTAATACTTACTAAGAGCCTGTGTCAGGGGCGCTATGTAAGATCTGCTTGCCACCTGCAGAGAGCTTACAATCTGGCAAAGCAGAGGGAACATGTGCCAAAACCCCGCGGTGAGTGAAAATGTGTAGGTTCGTGAAGTATACGGTGCCCGCTAATTCTCCTGTCCCCGATGATCACAACTCCGTTCTCCATTTTTAACTTTACGTATCTGAGCATATGGTAACTTCTCCGCCCTTGGCTTTTTGAACTGATTTTTTTAATTTCACTGTTTCCAAAACACTACCATGCTCTGTGCAGTAGTAATTATTGTTACTGATGGAGAATCTGAGATGAGAAAGAGAAATCTGTGGGACGATTTCAACGCAGGTTTAGGAATTCATAGTCCATTCTTTTAGCATTGAACTGAGCTCTGTGTATTCATCTGTAGAGCCTCGCAGACAGATAGTGCAGTGGTTATTCGTACTTGCTTTCTCTGCCTAGAATATTCTGTCCTCCCGTCCTCACATTTCTTGTTCCTCTGTGTCATTCTGGTCTCGGCTCAAGTGTCATACCTAGGAGAATGTCTCCGTACAAGCTCACTCTCCCCACTCCCTTCTATCCCTGGTACTACGGTGGACATTCTTTTTCGGTTTGTTTAATGGAATCCCCTTCCCTGTCTACTTTGTAAATTCTTACTTGTCCTTCAAGGCTTAGGGCAAACCCGACCTTTTCTTGAGGACAACCCCGGAGTTTTTTGTTTTGTTTTGTTTTTTAATTCTCTGTTTAATTCATTTGGCAACTATTCTTACACAGCCTTATGACATCTATTATCCCGAATTATTTTTATGTGTGTCAGAATGTAAACTACTTGAGAGGGAATTTAATGCATACCTTACGTTTTACAAATAGTATACACATGTTTTGATGAATTTTTACAATAGATTTTACTCCTTTTATAAGCTAACCTTGGTATTTATATTCTGTCTACCTTTACTTCCCTTGTTTTTTTCTTAAGGAAATATAAAGTGTGCCTAACTATATTCAGGATTCCCAAACACTTTATTGTGATTTTTTTTTTTTTTTTTATTGCATTGGTGAGGGGAAAAAGAGGACTGAAGTGTTAGGGGTTCAGCAAGCTTGTAATAGTCAACTTGCCAGATCCTGAGCTGTCGCTTCTTAGTGGGATTCTGAGAAACCTGTGTTCTTTTTCCAGTTCCACCACCAGTTATCTGTGTGACTTTGGGAAAATCACATAACCTCTCCCGGGTTTCAATTTGATTGGAAAAGCATCAAATGAAATCCTCTAAGTTTCATCGATTTTGGGGAGCAGGGGAGATAATGTTCATTAGCTTCTTATTGGGTCACAACTTTATTCCATTGCAAAGCTTAATTTTTCAAGACTTTAATAAGTATTTTTTTTTAATTCTACCAGTTACCCAAGAAATCTTGCTACCTTTCCCCCCTCAGTTTGCATATCCAATCTATTCTCCATTCTATCGGTTCTGCTTCTAAACTAGAGCTACCATCTAAATTTCTCCTTCTCCACTGTTAACACTCTGGTCTAAACCACCATCCTGTCACACCGGCAAGACTATTTCATTATCTAGCCTGCAGGAGAAGGGGCAACATTGTTTTCCTAAGTCCTCCCTGCCGTGAGCACTTCTGAAGCAGCCGGTCTGCAGAGCTAGGTCTCCCAAGTCCACGTCCTTGTTCACTGCATCATATGTGCTTCTGACCAGACAGTGTAGGAGAGGCCAGCAAGATAGGAATCCTGAAGAGCGTTGTGCTCCAGAAACTAGAGATGCGTGTTTTAAGAAGTGGGGACTAGTTAGCAACGTGAGTTAACTAAAATGTGGAGAGAGAAGATGAGAGCACGGTGTGGTGACACTGACTCAGCAGGATGTAGGGTGAGAGCACTGGACGGTAGTGGGCTCAGATAGCCACTGGATGGAAAGCTGCTACAGACTTTCTGGGTCAGGGAGTGGAAAACCGGGATGGTCGGTAGAGGGTAATGGAAGTTCAAAGGACAGATTTTTGTTTGACATTTAAAGATGGGAGATAGTACAATGTGTCTGCTGATGGAATCTGTCCAGTGCAGGGGAGAATGTGTTGATGCAGGAGAGGCGGTAGTTGTGTGGGTGCGCGTGCCCGCATGTGTGCATGCTACTCTAGAGTGTACTCCAGAGTGGGGGACCCTGTCTCACTGGTTTTGGCTGTACGCCCAGTAGTTAGAACAGTACTTGCCAAAGTAACAGCTACTCTGTAAACTTTCTAATATCTGTTGAATAAATGATTAACTTGGACACTATTTCTCTTACCTCCTTTTTAAAAAAATTCTTCACATATCAGCCAGAAATATATTTTAAAAAAATAAATCAGACCATGTCACTGCGCAGTGCAAATTCTTCTGTGATCCCAACTGCATGTAGAATGGAATTCCAGCCCCCTGAGGCCTATCGGGTCCCACATGAGGTGATGCCCGCCTTCTGGAGCCCTACTTCCCCTGCATTCTTCTCTCCTTAACTGAATTCTAGTGATGCTGGCCTTCTTTCATGTCCTCAAACAGAAGGACTCCTTACCACATTAGGGCTTTATACAGGATTTCTCCCCCCCAACTTCTTGTCTTGATATCATTCAGGTGTCCACTTAAATGACACCTTCTGAGGAAGACACTCCCTGAGACTATAGTGAACCAGAGCAAAAATCTCCTGGAGCCACATGGTCCTGGGCCAGCTCCCTGGGACCTGCCGTATAACCTTGAGCAAACTGCAGAAGGTCTTAAGGCCCCAGCTCCCCTTCCTGTGAAGTGCAGACAGTAGCAGTATCTGATTTACACACTCCTTTTGAAGACTCAAGAGTATATGGAGCAGCGGTACAGAGTGAGCCCTCTGTAAGTGTTACCAGGGTCACTCCCTGACAGGGCTGAATATCCCCATTGTTCTTTCTGTTCCTTTCCCAGCTGTTTCTTCACCGTGTTTGCAACAATGTCTAATTTATCAGTCTTCCTCCCTAGATAGGAACCACCAGGAAAGCAAGGATCACGTCTGCCTCTATCCTCCATCCCTTCTGACTAATTCCCTACCTGGCACACAGTTAGCAGTCTGTGACAAATATTAATTAGGATAGGCCAGAAATCACGCTCGGTTTTGAAATCTAGTGACCAAACTCGCATCACTGGAGAGCCTGACGGAATCAAAGCCCAGACCAGTCTTGGTGCAGCCTCCGTGGAATCCGGCACTCCTGTCAAGCACTTGCATTTTCTGTTGTTACTTTGTATCAATCTTGCAGACTTGATTCTTGTACTTTTATTGATTCAATTATTTAAATCAAATTTTAATGGAAGATGTTAAAAGGAAGAAGGAGACGATAGTATTAAAAATTGATTCAGTGTTTTGAGCAGGAAGGAGTTTTGTTGAAGCTACGATGCACCCTTACACACCGCTGTCTCATGCGCTTCGAAGAAAGAAAACACTGTCATCATCAGCTACGATACAACTCCTTATCGCCCGGTATTTTTCATTCTCAAGGAAAGCCCTTTTAAAATTTTCGTATATCACCCCAGTACACACGCAAAATTAGCTGAGATGCCCTTAAAACATTTTCACATTCAGAGTCCAGTGCTTCAAATTCACTTGCAACTCGGAATCTCGAAGTCCATGTTTTTCTACATAATATTCTGTTATCAAGAGCATTAGTGATGCATCATTTCTTTTTTTTTTTTTAAGATTTTATTTATTTATTTATTTGACAGATCATAAGTAGGCAGAGAGGCAGGCAGAGAGAGAGGGGGAAGCAGGCTCCCCGCTGAGCAGAGAGCCCGATACAGGGCTGGATCCCAGGACCCTGAGATCATGACCTGAGCCAAAGGCAGAGGCTTAACCCACCGAGCGACCCAGGTGCCCCTGATGCATCATTTCTTGAATGACTATCTGTTATTATCTCCAGGGCTGTCTTTGAAGACATGGATACCCATTCTTCACATTCTGATGCACAGTTTGATGCACATAGGGACAAATAGGTCATGTTACTACCTGGCCAGAAGCAATAAGATACCTGTCAATTTCAGATATGTTTAGGGTGGAAAAAATGTGTCTTAAAATTAGTAAAAAATTAGGGGCACCTGGGTGGCTCAGTGGGTTAAGCCTCTGCCTTCGGCTTGGGTCATGATCTCAGGGTCCTGGGATTGAGCCCCGCATCGGGCTCTCTGCTCGGGGGGAGCCCGCTTCCCCCACTCTCTCTCTCTGCCTGCTTGTGATCTCTCTCTCTGTCAAATAAATAAAATCTTTTAAAAAAAATCAGTGAAATATTATAT